TGACGCAAGTTACTTCTTGTTCTACCCACGTTTGCGTCTATGGATTACCGGTTCCACCCCAAGTTCTGCGTGCATCAATGAGTAATTCTGGAGCGATGAGGATCCGCGTCATGTAGCGCTCTCCGTTCCTGAAAACATTCTCGTTTTAATCTTTGCACTGACTTTTTTTTCGCGGCGACATTGAGTTTAACTCTGGTCCTCAGATCGGGACGAAAGAACTACTCGCCGGTCAGCAGCGCTTGATTACCAACATAAACGTAATCGAAGCAGAGCAGTCGTCCACCGAATCATTACTAAAGTACTTGTGCAAGCGTATGGGACCAGTGGAATCAAAAATGGATGCGTTTAACTGTATACACACTGTTCCCCAGTAATATTTAAAAAAAAAGAAACTGTGATACATGGCTGATGCACGTTCAAGTTTTGGCTTCCCGATTGACAAATTTTAAACATCGTGGTCGTCGTAATCATTACCTTATTTTTTATGTATTCCTTGAATTAAATTTGAAAGAGACTTGCGGTCCTTGCAAAAACCTTCTTAGCTATGAGTGGGTGATGTTTTTGTCGAAAAAGCATATCGGCTGGGCTAATTTTCTGCTGATCGGAACCGATCAGTCATCGGCAATTTTTGTGTTTGAAAGACAAAAAGAAAGGCAGTTCTTTTTAATTCTCGTAAACTAAAATACACAAGTCTGGACATCTCAGAATATTTTTTTTCTCGGAATCAGTTTGTGCCATCAAAAAAAAAAATAAAAAAATAAAAAAAAAACTAGGAATGCGAGAAAGCTTATCGTCGAACGGAATGCGAAATTGTGTTGAAAAACGATTGTTTACTTACAGAATTTGTTAAATTATTGTGCAATGATAAAGCAGATCTGGTGAGCTAGAATTGCCTGCCTAAAACACGCTGAGAGGGCTCATTAAGCATAACATTTGTGAACTGTAGAAGTTAAAAAAAGCCGACAAGTTCCACAAGTGTAATTCGAACAAGGTCATTGCTGGACGGCGATATTCTTGATCATGTCTTCCCTGAAAAATACTCATGTGATAGAAATTATAGAAGTTCCCACTGAGAATGCGTTTTTATTCTTTCTCTTAAAAGCATCGTTTCAAACGAAATGAAGATTGAAATGGAAAGCGTTAAAAGTGTTTGGTGTGAACTTTGTTTAAAAAAAATTCTGAGTGGCCGGCCGATGGTGCTTTTTACAAACCGCCAGGTACTCAGACGAGTGTATTAAGGTCTTCGTCTGAAATTGTTTCTACTGTTAGTTGTGCTAAAATCACAATTGAATGCGACGTTCTTGCCGGCAGTAGAATGGAATGCGAGTAATCACAAAACTGGCGTAGGAGAACTTTACGCTGAGGTGTTTAGCTTTATGAACTTGTACGCTTTTAAACAATACGCTCATAAAACAAATCAAACCGATAAAACGAATTCGATAAAAGCTTCGCTTTTATCGAAGATGCCAGATACGATTTCTAACACCTACGTCGAAAGTTGCTAGTGCCAGTGTCGGCGAGTCAAAAACACGTAAGGGGCTTCTATATTACAAAGCAGATTAAAGTGGTAGAAGTCTCATAGACCCTTGTTTTCTAACCTTCGAGTCGTTGCCAAGATTTTTGAGTATCGAGAAAATCCGGTGTATTTTTAAGAAAAAACTCAATTAACCAAATGTTTCGTTCCTTCCTCTATGCTTAACCCCAAGCGTGCTCGCGACAAGCCTTGGATATCTCGGCATCTGCACAGCTTAATTTAAAATAGATGTAGGGCGTACTTAAGGTACAGATCACCCGACTTAAAGCTGATATGGCCACGTTAAGCAAACTTGCTGCATCTGTCAATTTAATCGGTACAAAACCTACATTTTCAAATTTATTAAGATATAGTGAAAAACATCCCAAAACGACTCGAAAAATGTGCGCAAAAACGTGAAAAGTAATATCTCTGTAAAACCATTTATTCAAGGTGACAGTATTGTTCTAACTGATATGAATAAAGCCGAACTATTGAATACATTTTTATGTCATGTTTAACTAATCTGCACAACGGTACTTTATATTTGAAGCTCCAACTGTGTCCTATACAATGTCGTCGATTGCCTTAGAAGCATAAGGAATCAGGAAACTTTGAAATGGATGCAAGCAAGGCAACTGGTCCCGATGACATTTTCGCCTGTATTTTTAAATCGTGCTTTGGTACAGACTGTCTATATTTTTACGTTCTGTTTGAAAAAATCCTTAAGTAGAACCGCGTTATCAATAAATTGGAAGATTGGTGGGGTTTTCCCGATACACGAGGGTAGTCCCAGAAACATGGTAATAAATATCCGTTCAGTTTTATTAACTAGTACAGCATGCAAGACAATAAAGCACATTTTATACATGAGAATTTTGAACGACATAAATGCTCTTGGTAAACGGCATTTATCCCAACATGGCTTTCGTCAAAAGTATTCATTTGTGACGCAGCTAACTAAATTTGTACCCATATTGACTGACGCTCACGATGAGTGTGATATTGTTTACTGTGTTTTTTATATTTTAGTAGGGCATTTTATATTGTCCCTTTCGGTTTTTAATAGCAACAAATGCATGATTATAAAATTGATAATAAGGTAGTACATTGAATAGGCGAGTATTTGTCAAAACCGTAAGCAGTAAGTCGTGCTCAATGGTGGTGCATCTGAAGGTTCTGACGTGACATCGGGAGTTCCACAAAGTCCTCACCTTCGCCCGTTGTTGTTTTTGTTGTACTTGAACGAAATTGTCGGTGTCGTGCCATGTACTACAAACAATAGCGTTGTTCTTTGCAATCTTTGCAAATAATAGTGTTGTTCATAAAAAAGCGAACGTGTATGATAATGCTGACGTCAGCATTCTTTAGGCAAATAATGTCGTCACTGACAGGTGCGATTTGTGGATTATGAATATTAATGCTAAAAAGACTGCTCATGTCCCGTTAACGGAACGACGTTCCATCCAATGGCGCATTACAACATTAATGGTGAGCCACTTAATATCATGGACGATTACAAATACCTCGGTGTATTCCTAACTTCAAAGCTGGGTTGAAACAATCCTGGCGATTTTGTTCTTTCTAAAACTTCAAGAATACTCGGCTGCCTCTCTCGTAACTTTAAGTCTGTGCCGCCTTTCCTGCTACAAAAGCTTGATTTCTCGCATGTCCGCTCAATTTCGGAATATGCTTGCGGTGTATGGGACTCAGTCCCAAATGTGTCTCCCCTACTGAAATGCCCCACGACGCTATAGCTACTCGAATAAACAAATATTCGCAGGCTTGACATTTTGAGAATTTCGGAAAGTTGGGAACTTTTGCGATTGGTTGTGGTATGTTGCGCACTCGTTAAAGTATAATCTTAATCAATTCGAAGCGTCTACCCTTCCACAAGGCACCTAGTGGAGCCAGTAGCTGATTGGCGGGGCTTACCATATGTTTAAACCCCCGAAAACAAACGGCCTGCTCAGTGGAACTTCCGCACGATGAAACATCATGCCCAGCGCCACAGCGTAGGACGTATCCTTTTAGGTAGCTATAGTAAAAAACAACTCAGCAAGCGAAAGGTGTGACATATTATGTTCACTTTTTTTTTTTTTTTGCTTCGTGGTTTGTTTTTTATTGCTCTTATTTTCTAAATGCCGCAATCTCATTGGCTACGGAGCGGCAAAAAGACGCTGGAGACTGGCCACGCCCCTCGTTTTTTATGTTCTTTGTTACTACAGAAGCAGTCTAAAGCTAATCGAAACTAGAATATGCCGGCGTGATATGCAATTCTCACCAAACCAAAATTATTTAACCTTAAAATTAGAAGCTTCACAAAACAAGGCCGCACGTTTCATCTGCCGCGAGTACGCTTCCCTAACGAAAGTGTCTCGGAGCTGAAGACGAACCTGGAATTAACATCTTTAGAAAATCGACGGAAGACTTCTTATTTATGCTTTTTCATCACATTTACAACAGCGAATCACTTTACCGAACATCTTTCTGTATATTTGCCGGGTTCGTATGTCCTAGGCTTGATCACTCGTGCAAAGTTCAACCGATTAAATCACATACTAACTTTTCCATGTTCTATCCACTATCATTATGTATAAAATATTGAAACAGTCTTCCCGCGCACGTAGTGACTCAACCCGAGTATGTGTTGTCTAGGAAGAGGTGGGTAGATTTGTTTAGTAAACTTCTTTTCTTATTTTATCCTAACGCCAAACACAGCTTGGCCATTCAATTTCTACACTAGAAATATGTCTATCGTTGTATTAATTCACATATTAAATCTTTGTATATCCATTTTGAGTTTGGGTTTTAGTAGTCTGTCTTTGGTGAAATATGATATAAACTGTTGGCGTCTTGTTTTTGTTTGTTTATATATGTTAATATCATGACTATCCCTCCCTTTTTGCTGTCCCCACTCATGTTAGGCATGAGAGGGGACAGCATGAGAGGAAACACCCTTGAGGTTAATCAATAAAATGAAATAAAATGAAAATTTAAATCCAAGATAAGTTAAGTTAGCACTAAGTCATGAATCATGATTAACACGATTGAACGCTTTTAATATGTCAAAGGGTGATTTCATTTGAAATTCTGCAGGAAAAAGCGGTCATGTCTCAAAAATGTTTTAAAATATATGTATATATATATATCCTGGGAAAATTCTTCAGTAGGACAAAACTCAAAACCGTTTTTGCTTTATATTTTTATACCCCTTTTTCCTTAACGATTTGAAATAAAAAATCGCCTCATGATAAGTCACATCAGCTTGTACTGCAAAATCTTTACACCAAGTAATAAAAAAGAAGCATAAAGTTGATTTTACTGACCTTTAAAAAATAACGTTTTGAAATGTAGATATAATTGGGCTTAGGTATAAGTAAACGTACTTATTTATTTATTAGGCTTTAGAACACTTTTTAATATCACATCCCAATTGCACAGGCTGATCATCATAAACCAAAGTAGAATCACCAGCTCTAAAAACAGGGGCAACTAAATTCTAAAGGCTCGGGGATTGTATTTTGCAAGGGACAGGTTGCAGGTACGCGCAAAAGGGGGACGCGTCAATAACATCAACTTCAGATAATAAGATTTTGTTCTGCCGTCAATACCGGTTGACGATAGTTACTCAATGTACTTTATGACTTCTAAAGTACCTCGAACGTTAACAACAAATTTAGAAAAACAAAATTACTCCGCATCAGTGGCATTGAAAATAGTCATCTCAGACAGAGTTTAGTGAGAGTATATATATGAGCAAAAGATTCACGATTTCGGATAGCAAACGATGGAAACCGGTATCGTCGTGAAGATGAACATCCAGTTACCAAAAACGTCCAAAAATAAACCCCATTGTCCCATTGAAAATTTCAGAACATCCCTTATAATTTTGGAATAAGATAACGGATACTGCGAAACATTGGACTCTCTTTCTAAACTCCAGCGTTACATTTGGGCGGAAAATGAGCGTTTGGGGATGCCCAGCTTATTTTTGTAGTAAAACAAAATGCTGTACACTCCATTTTTTGTTTTGGAGGGGGGGGGGGGGGGGGGGGGGCAATTCGTACGTCGTTTATATAGTTCCTTGACCAGATCACAATACAGGCTGCTTTTAAACACCATATATCGAGCCGTTTTTTCTTTTTCTTTTTTTTTTTCATAATAACTTTTCTAGAAAAGCTTGTTTTTGAGACTTCTTTTTTAAAATCCACGCAAGCCTAAGAGGATGTCGTTAAGTGCGCCTCAACCGTTTTAGAGCAAAAATAAAAGAAGTCAAGTTTTCTCCAGCTCACTCCACAAGACAATCATTCATGACATAGGGCCGGTCGACATACTGGTTGAGAAATTTGTATAATCTGAGATCATGTCCTCCGGTGTAGGAATTAGCGACGGAACTATTTGTCGCACGTGGCAACTACGTGATAAACATTTTTTTTTTATGATAGTGGGATGATAGAACAACGGTGGCATAATTCGTCAAAAGCAGCTTGATGATTTCTGGGGCACCAAGGTCACCGACCGCTTTTAAGAAACGTAATCTGTTGACGTTTCTCGCTTTGCGACTTTTTTTTTTTTTTTACTTTCTTATTGTCTAATGCCGCAATATCATTGGTTGCGGAGCGGTAATGAAATGCTCGGGATACGCCCCGCATTTTTTAAGCTGTCGGAACTCTCAGAAATAGGGAGTGAGGTACTTACACGCCTTAAACCATATAAAAAAAAAAAACACTAAAATTTGACGTTTCGTCCGCTGTCGTTGAATCGGCGATGCCAACTTTCACGAGCGGCTTGATAATCGAGTGATACAACTTATTGAAATATATAATGTACTCCTTCAAGACTGCAGGAAAACACTCGAGGTTTTATCGTCCCTGCTGCAAAACCTCAGTGTTTTTTTGTTTTGTTTTTCTTGTTCCTTAGTTAGCTTTGATATGTACCTGAGCTATTTATTAAGTTATATCCCACAACTATCAAGTCGATCGTAAAAGTTAGTATCGTCATTTTGACGTCAGCGGACCGAACGTCGAAATGTAGAATTTGGGGCGTTAAATATAGGACAAGGAGTGTAAGGACTACACCCCTTATTTGTGAGACTGAGTGACTATGTCTGCAGGGTGTATCTTTTTCATGATGTATTAGCTGTGAGATTGTGGCTTAAGGGAAACCGATACATCAGTGTCACTAAAACGCGCGCCATAAGCGTCAAGACCCCTAGCAGTATCCAGCCTTTAAACGGCCAGCCGACCTCCTTTCCAAAGCCCGGCGAATCCGCCGAGCCAGAGAAAATAGCGCGTAGCGGGCGGCGGGGCCAAAGCGGCCACTCAGGCCCCGTTAACCGCTTATCCGACCAGTTTGCGCTCGACCGAGCCCAAACCTGTTGTTCGCCGGGGATCGGCGGGCCGAAATCTGCCTTTCCAAACCTACTGAATTATTACCGGGCCGGCCTCATTAAGATTTAAACAGGCGCGTTCCGCTCCCGCCGACACCGGCGGCGTCGGCGCCCGAGCTCGCGGATTCCCCGGTGCCGGCGAAGAGCCGTCGCGTCGTCGGACCCGCTCGGACGTCGGTTGTGGACTGCACGGCGTCGAGAACTCTCCACAATGCGTTTCTTCTAGGTTCAGATTTCGGTACTTTAATCTTCTTGGTTCCCATATATCGATCGCAATTAAGCGATATCGCAAACTTCTGTCTGACCTCGAGGTTTGACTTGTGTAGCGAATTGTCCACTTTCTAGCGAAATTCGACGAAGTACTACTTACGAACAGTGCTGCCCGACGCAGAAATTTCCAACTTTATGGCGAAATGTGATGTATAGGGTGTTTTTTCTAGTGTACTTTATTTTAAAGAATATAAACTTAAACTCAAGTTTTTATTCATTGAGATTGTGGTGAATGTGAAACAATGTGCCCAATAAATACTCCGACCCCTCCTCCGCCACGTAGCGCCAGCTGGTTTTTAATTTTCGCGCGTGCGAATATACCGCGGGGTCACGAATTTTGGTGAAGCTTTTAAAGTAACCGAATGGCTTGGTAACGTATCGCACTAAGATTTACCACAGAACATCCTCGAGGTAGTGAAAGCACCGCATAAAATTTCAAAATAAAAAAAAATGAAAACTTTGATTGCCGATCTTTTTTTTTTTACTTACGCCACCCGTCTGCTATATCCGTACACTACTTCACTGGCACAACAACCGACAGGTGGCGGCAGAGGCTCTGCGGCTTACGGTACCTCAGCGGCCGCCGGGTCACGCCAAATGCAGACGACTTATAGCTGAAATTCCTCGACGAACCGTCGGTTTAATTCAGTTTGTGGCAATGTGATGCGTTTTATTCGGAACGAAAACGAAATCACGCACTGACCATTATAACACCGAACATTTGCGGGTCGTTTACGATTAGAAAAGGTTGTATGCTTTTGGCGCGATCGGGCGGCTGCCGAGCTGCCGTAAGTCCATTCATCCCTCTCTATGATGAATCGATGAATGGATAGATGGATGAGGCTGAACCCTTTGAATCTGGCGACGGCTTGCGCCACCTAGCCAGTGTTTTTTTTTCTTTTTCTAACATTTATGCCACACAACCACCGTTGTCGCCTTCTGCCAGCTGTTACGCCAGTCAGAGGGTGCGCGGTTAGTTTCTTGCTTTCTGATTGGTTCTGGGACGTTCTGATCGGCTGATGTCGCAATCTGATTGGCTGCTGAGCGATAATGAGATGCTCGATCCTCGCCACGCCCTGCTGTTCCACCATCGTCAGTGGTCACTAACGATGGTCAAACCATAGAGTTATTATAGTGTAAGCTAGAGTTCCAATGGCGCTAGTGTACTGTGACAAATTGAAGCAGACAGTAACCGGTGGAAAATTGACTTCCGGTAATGCATTTCAATGGAAAAGTGAGCGCATTTTTTTTGTGCGCATTATTATGAAAGAGTATATCCAGAATAATTCATACGTACCTGATAGCTTAAAACGTTTCTGAGTCAGGAAGACGAAATAATTAATCAGCTACGGCGTTTTTTTTTTTTTTTCAATATCACAGCGTTAAAAAAGGTGCTAAAATGGCTTCGTACATGTATTTATGCACACTATTGGACACTGCTAGCGCAAACACGACGTCGGCGCTTTTCAGCATGGGAGATATACTTGCCAAACGAACGAAGGACGTCTGGAAAACCAAGATATAAGGCATAAACTACGAAGTAACACTGGATCAGTAACTCTCTGTGTATGTACGATCAGAATAAATTGAAGGCCACGTAACATAGTCCGATTTTCAATAGGTACTGCTTCATTGTTTGTGCTCTGTGCAAAGACGTCAGTTCTACGTTCTACATCAACAGCACGCTCGTAACCTTTGAAAATAGGTGCCTGATAAAAACTGCACGGCATAAAAAATAATAAGAAAAGAGACACCTTTCATAACCCACGTAGTTTACTCCTTACGTTTTGAATGTTTTTAACCGATCGTACAGTTGCAGGATGGGGAGGCAGGGCAGTTCCTTTAGAGTTGCCTTGAATTGGCAGGAAGGGGATGAAAAGAAAATCGTCATTATCTTTCATTCTAATTAGACAGATAAAAGGAAAATTGGAAGCACGCGTGGTTGCGAGGTTCAGACATTTCGTCGTCTCACCATGCCGACTTCGTACACGACGCTACCCGGGCGGCTTTCAAAATAGGTGGTCGCGGAAAGCGACGTTAGGTTCCAGTCCGCAACACTCGCGTCGAACGATCACCGCTCTAGCGTGACCTGAAGGCGGGGTTTCGGCTTCCCCCCAATGCGTAGCTTCCTGACACGGCGTCGATCCGTCATTGGGTTGGATAGCCTTCCGCGCTCGAAAAGACAACGTTCCGAAGAGCCTTCAAATGGGTAACCGACGTTTCGGTAAAGCCGAGAGCACACTACTAATAGACGACAGATAAGATAGTCTGCATACACTGTATGAGGTCTGTTCTTGAGGCGTGTACGCCGATAATTTGGTTATCATGTTTTCAGCAAATGAGGTGTCTTTTTTTTTTTTAGAGTACGTGCAGCCCGACTGCGGCTTTTGAAGCAAATCTTTAAAGGGTCTGTTTTAGCGTGGAAACTTTGTCTCGACCTCCGAATTCCCAGAGAGAATTTGCACAACTGCGCAACTCAGTGATTACATAATTTTACTGACGTCACAGGGGGAAGGAGCACACTTGAGCGTCTTTTTGTTCTATATTAACACCAAAAAAAAAGCAAATCTCCGCCTGTCGCCCAATGGGTACAACAATAGCTTAACTTCATGTGCCCCCCCCCCCCCCCCCCCCCCCCAAACGAAAACAAAAACACGTATGTAAATTTTTAGTTGAACCTCTTTTGGGGGCTTCAAGGTCAACGTCCCGCTGTAAAAATATATAACGTAAAATATGTCTTTGACTTCGTAGAAAATTTGAAGGTCGCTAAATCTTCGAGGAGTCTATGGTTGTTAGGTTGTCCTATAAATAATTCGCTCGTTGACCAGACTGA